TCTGATGACGACGATATTATTTCCACGGCAGATAATGGCGCGAGCACTATTGTTGCCGGCTGCGGTGAAGGCAGTGGAACTTGTTGCTCCACTACGACCAGTCCCAAAACTACAACTGTATTTGTAGACATCGAAGATTTGCTTGTGCGTCGGCAAGCTGCCGCAAAATCAGCTGCAGAAGATGCGGCACGTCAAAGAAGTGCCGATGCGACAACAACTCCATCAACAGATCAGTTCGAAGACGAGTAAGTTTGGGATTATGGCCTAAATTACCGTTACATATTCAAATAATTGCATGTTCTTCTGTCCTCTAGAAATCTTGGCATCCGCTCTGGTATATGCAATCCGGGTTTCAACTGTGGCGTTAGTACTTCACGACAAACTTGTCAAACAATTATCGACCGCTATCAAGACCAGACACGGCAGGGCCTAGAACCGTTGGAGTACGCCAGCGATGCCGATGAGTATCAAACTTTGAAGCATACTGTACTGCTGATCATGTTGCTTTGCTCAATGTTTGTGGTAAGCGAATTAAAATAAACGACTCTAGATAAATGTGAGTAGGTATAAACAAAACTCTGTGATTTCAGAGCTTGGCTGTCTCCATCTGGACCCTAGTTATGGATGGTATGTCCGGAATTTATCTGGAATTGAGTTTCCTGGACTCTTTCTTAAATTTCGGTCAGAGCTTAGTCGTTTTGGCTGTTTTTATCACTGATACTAGTGAACTGCTGACACCGCTAGTGAAAATCTGGCGCAAGTTGTGGTGCGTAAAATGAGTTTTTCAAGTTTAAGAATATATTAAAATATCTAATCTCTTTCAATATAATCTGTGTAGGTATGGAGCAAATGTATTATCGCTGCCTCACTGGTCGAGTCTCAGTCCGGAAACCAAGCATATTTGTGAACAGTTCCGGAACCATCACTTGGAAAATTGCAAGAAGGATATTGCCAAGGATCGAAGGTGTGTTTGAACTATTTATTTTCGGTTGTTTGTTTTCAAAGTCTGCATGGGGAAACATGTAAATAATTAAGTTTAGTCTCCATTTGCAGATTTTAGCTTAATAACGTAGGAGACATAAATTGATGCAATCACAAAACAATTAGGTGACAAACAAAAGCATAAAAATAATCTCATAAAATCTAATGGAGATGTGTTGCTCACGAATTTGCATACACCAGAAGGCAGTGATTTACAGATTTTGAAACTCTTTCGATTACTACAGCGTATGTAAAATATCAAAACCAAAAATGCTTACAAATCTATAAGTAAAATTCCAGCTCATGATCGCTAAGAAAACGATTCTCATAGCAAATCTGTCATCTGTTTTCATTGATTTATTTTATCTGAACCAAAAAAATCGGCTTTATTTCACGCAAATGTGTTGAGCATTTAACCATTAAATTTGTATGTAGAGTATCATTTTCCAAAACATGCTCTATTTTTCCAAATTTCCTTAACCAGTACGCTGCCCTCAAGAAATTTATACTTCCGGAGCTCGAAAATAAGCATAAACCGAAAAAAACCATTTCGGTATATCTCAAATGCTTATCGCATTGGACATTTTTGTGCGAGCCTATGTCAAAGCATAAAAAAAATTGAGCTCTAAACAAGTATTGAGGCGTTGATTCGACCAAGAATGAACTTTCAGGGTTAAAGCATTAATACAAGGCATCAGTCTCTTTTATTTCTAAATCTTGATTTATGTATGTACATACAGGGAGCGTCAAAAACAATACTCATAAATCTGGTTTTCATCTATTGTAACTCCTATCCCGAGTATTTATACATATCTCATTTCTATTTCATCTTCAGGTGGCGTATCAAAGTCTATCGCAAAGTATTCTACGGCACTGAATTTGTGGATTGGCTTATGGAGGTGGGTCTTTCTAAAGACCGTCTGGAGGCTGTGCACTACGCTAGACACCTAGTGGATGGACGTGTTTTGCGTCATATAAACAATGTATATCACTTTGAAGACAAGCAGCTATTATATAATTTCTGTGCACGTATATAAAATATTTTAGTCGCATATTACGGTAATAAAGAAAGCTTAAATACCTACTATAAGTAGATGCACACATATGTATGTTTATGTATATTAATGTACATATGTATATGCAAGAAAGTTTTAAGGAATCGCTACTACGATTATAGTTTTAAATTTTTAAGCGTGAAAATTTTCAGAGGACATGGTGCTGTGATGCGTGTCAAATATTTGTATAAGTTCATTTAACCTCTTCTTATTCGACCACGTATAATTTAATTTGTTAAGTTAGTCGCGTAGGCAGCCATGTACGTGATTAATTTTAAATGAAGATATATGTATTTTCAATTTACGTAAATTACGTTAGCTTTTGAATGAATTGATATATTATTGTAAAATATTAAGGTTTATTATAAACTATGTATTATTAAGTATGAAGAATATGCAATAACTAGTCGATCTAGTGTTCAATTGCCGCTTTATGTAAACATAACTACATATATACTACATACATATATATAGCGTACGCACACACGTCACAAAGATTTATTAGCTTTCAATTAGTTTTATTCTAATTGTTCACCTGTTAAGTATTTTGTTTTACATTTCATTGTGCAATCATTTGCTTATTCTTATATTATTAGAAATTATGCCAAATATCGATTGTAAATTAGGGAATTATGTACAGAAGTACTTTAGCTTAAGGCAAGCGATGCATATTTAAGGAGGAAAGAAAATAAAATTTTAATATGTAGGTATATGTAGACATAAATTGTTTAGGATAAGTTGATACCGTCGATTGTGATTGCGCTTTTAAGCATTGTTTTGTATATCTGTTTCGGCACATTGATCAGCAGGTGTGAAAAACGAAAGCATTTTATAAAACATTCAAATTATAATAGAAATCAATAATAAATTTGCTATGGTCACAAAGAGGCTGATAAATCAAATGCGCAAAACGTGTTTTTATTGATGCGGCATTTAGAAATTGTTGCAGCGACATTTTCAATTGAAATGTTACGACTTATTGAACATTTTTTATGCATAGGTGTAGCCGCGAATATGGGTAGGGCTTTTGTCAATCTCATTTTCAATTAAATTGCTTAGTTTATTCATTATCTACGTATATGCATATATAAGTAAGTATATTGCAAATAAAACTTGTTTTCCCAATGGCAATTTAAATGGCATTTGTCGTCGAATAAGTGAAAATATATTGTCAAATGGTTAAAATAAGCAATTGTTTTGTACCAATAGGTGTTTCTCAAATCTTCAACGTTGTTTATCTACTTAACCTCAAATCGGGGCACAACAAAAAGGTAATTTTTTGCCTGTAAAAATTGAAAGGCTGAAATTTCACACATACATACCTCAAAAGTAAATTATGGACACCCGAACTGACTTGTCGTATATTTTTTTTGCCTCAAATTTCTTCGAAATTATATCAGCTCCTGTATTTTACCCTTATCTGATGAGCTGTAAAATATTTCTGTGCTATGTATTCATACTTTATTTAAATAGTAATGTTAATTGATAATTTTTCCCGTTTAAGTCTAGTCGAGTCGAAATTTTAGGCAATACCATATAATTTTCGATATGACGACTCGAAAAACGACTCTCGCAAGAAACAACATTCGCAATGAGGCTGAATGTTCTTTAAGTAAATTGGGGTAAAAAAGTTAGCTGGGACCAGCCGGAGTAAACTATCTCACCGAGGTCATCAACTTGTCGCTCACCACACCTGGGGGTGGAAATTAGTAGGTAGGGTGGTTTCACTACTGAACCCTATTTATGCGAACTGCGTAAGAACCGGGTAAATCCCCAAGGCTTGGAGGGTAGTCAGTGTTGCGTTCATTCTGAAGGCCGGAAAATGCTCTCACACTTCCCCTGGGCCTATTAGTCTCTCTTCGTTTTTACTAAAAGCGTTGGAGATATTGATACACCTGTAAATAAGAAACGCCATTTGTCCTGACTGACTGCAAAAAGATTATGCAGTAGGGGCCTTCGTAGATATCGAGCGCGCCTTCAACAATTTCACTCCAGATACAACAGTCAAGTATATTCATAATCTGGGGTTGAAACTAACCTAATATGTAATAATCAGCCTCATTGCGTAAGTCGTAAATTAGGCTGAATTGTACGACTCGACAACATTAGTATTGTCTACTGTCGTGCTGAAATAAGTAAACGACGAAAATTGTCGAAAACTGCAGTGCTGCCAAGTTTTTCCGTTTTAATACACTAGTCGAGTGGAAATTTTAGGCAATGGCGCTAAATTTTCGATACGATTCGACTCTCGAAAAACGACTTGCATTCGGCACGACTCTCGCAACGTGACTCTTCGTGACAAAACTATCGCGGCATAGTGGGGGAGCGCATGCACTTAGCGCAGAATTAATAGCAGCGCTCCACGAGTGGAAGATCGACATATCTCGGCAGCAGGTCCAAACTTCAGAATTTGGTTGAAGAACTGCCTATCTCAGAATTTAATTGTAGATCGCTCTATATCAGCAAATGGTCTAAAAACGCCATATATCAGCTGCCGATATACTAAATTTAGATTGAGGGCGTTCTTGTACTATGTGCTGAGTTAGGGCGTTCTGAAAGAAAAAAATGAGGTAGGCCGTTCTTCAACCAAATTCCGAAGTGGGGTAATATGGAAAAATTTGCTGAGATAGGGCGTTTCCAAATCGGCTGTCCAGTTAGGTCGGTCTTTCACTCAGCCATTAATCGAAAATTAAAGTTCCAGTATTGACACTGTCACCTTACAAACATTGCCACAGTTACCTATAGGCGTCTATGAAACAGAAAAAAATTCTCCGACAATACTGGCTCTCAAATTTTCCTGAAAAATCGCACCTATCACTTTATGAAATAGGCTCCTGATGGTGTTGCTCAATGTCATTTTACATCGCTAGGATACCATATTCAGACATCGCAGCATTAAGGCGACTTATTTTCGTGCTGTCGAAAGTGGTTTGGAGATCGACCAATAGATGGTGCGTGTCGACCTTCTTCTCGCGGGTATTTTTCAAGCTTTGTCGTATTTCGAATACCTGGTCTATGGTGAATTTACCAGGTCTAAGGCCACACTGACAAGGCCTAAATAGTTCGATGAGGTGGGTTTTAGCGTTTCTCACAATAGGCTCGATAAAACCCGCGGTATTGGACGCATATGCCAGAAATCGTCAGTTTTCCGTAATTTTACTCTACTATAAAGTTTTCGTGTGTTTTTTGATGTTGTTTTTGATAATTCCTATGTATCGTTTTGCCGCTACTAACAAAAAAGGCGCTAAGAACGCCGCTTCTCATTGCGCATGCAAAACAACACCACACGCCCGGGCGTGGATACGTGTTCGAAATATAAATTAAAATCTCAACTGCAATAATAACAATAATAATGGGCAAAACTTACATTTTTATTTACGATTCTTAAATTTGGAAGATTTATTTATTATTTAAAATATTTTAAAAATAATTAATTTTGTACAAAGGTATGCATTGTTCAACCGAAATCAAAATAAAATATTCCATGTAACACAAAAACAATGCAATAAATTCGCACTCACTGTGTTTCCTTAAAAAAAAAAAANAATTGCTCGTACACATCGAGAATCTTGATTGAATTCTAAGTGGCTCTGACGACAACAAGAGCTGTGCAAAATTTATGCGCTATTCCATGCAAATAACAACAGAAATTGTGCCTACTATGTTGCTGGACCATAGATAGCGAATACAGATATAAAATAACTATTTAGTGAAACGTCTGCAACCGCATTTGGCGCAGTGCTTAATTCGACAAACAATTGGAGGCAGTCAATCACCTTAAAAGTCCACCCAAGCACTCTCTCCGTGTTCTATCCACACTATCACCAACGTTGGGCTCCAGTCCCGTCCACGCGCTATCAATAATTCAATCAATAGCTGTTGCGGTCATGTAAATATCCAAGCGGCGCATGTGCGCAGCTACAAATACCGACCGCATTTGCAATTATTATTATTTAACATAGATATTTGCTTCTCCTACTGTTATAAATACCCAGCCAGCGGGGAAACGTACTCTTTGCCGACAGTGCAGTCTCTGTACATTTTTCATATTCGGAAACGTAGAGAAAGCGATTTCCATTTTGTTTTTCGTTTTCGTATCCGAAAAACGTCAAGGAGCTCCCAGGTTCGAATGCCATTAGAGTCAACAAATTAAAATTGTATGAAAATTGTTTATTAAAAACTATGAAAAATTTGACAAAGGATGACGGAAAATCGTTCCAAAATACATATTTTGCTGGCTGGGTATAGTTTTTGATTTTTTTGTGCATGTGTGTACATGTGTACATTAGTGTGCGTCTAATTTGAGTGGATACAAGTTTTTTTTTAAGTTACATAGCAAGACTCTAGACAGGTTCGTTTAGTCATAAAAATGTGCCCTGTGAAAATTTTTGAAAATCGGATTACAGAAAGAATGTTTGGCGTTTTTATAGAATTAAAAAAAAATTAAATTAATTAAAGAACCTAAATTAAATTAAATAAAGTTAAATATTTTCTTTTTATTTTTAAAAGAATAAAACCTAAAAATTAGAAAAAGAAAAACACTATCAAAAAACGAGAAAGTAGTATTCAAAAATAAAAAATTAAAATAAATAGTGTTTTTATTTTTAAAACAAAATCTTAAAAATAAAAAAATTAAATAAATTAAAAAGAGCAAGCAAAAAATTAAATTAACTACCACCCTAAAAATTAAATGAAATAAAATATATGTATATATCTTTCTTTTTAAACAAGTAAAATATAAAAATTTAAAGCACATGAAATTGACACAAGAAAAACAAATTAAATTAAAAAAGGAAGAAATGAATAAAATAAAATTTAAGCACATTAAAAAAACGATTTTCTTTTTTAAACAAATAAAACAAATATGGTTTTCCTTGTAAAACAGTAAAATAAAAATTTTAAGAAAATGAAATTAATAAAAGAAAAACAAATTAAATTAAAAAGAAAAGAAACAAATTAAATTAAATCAAATACAAAAAATAATATAAAAAAAAATAAGAAGAAAATTAGTCCAAAAAAATTTATTACGAGAAAAAAGTAAATTCCTAAAAATAAAATGCAATAAAAGGAATATGTTTTTCCCTTTAAAATATTCAAATTAAAAGAAAATTAACAAAAGAAACAAATCCGCAGTCCGAGACTCCAACTCAGATCTTTAGAATGGCATGCCTCTGCGACCATTGCGACTGTTGTAGCGACGCGAATTAAATGACATACGAGTGCTTTTTTTTCAAAATAACTTTTTCCACACGAATGGTGAATGAGAAATCCTCTTTTCTAAGACTTTTGTGCTAGAATAACAGAAGTCTTTCGAACTATCTTACCATCTGTCGTTCAATTTTCTTACGAATGATATTTTACTATTTTAGCCAAAATTGCCCTGTAAGTGCCGGTAAAACATATTAAACTACTCTCTGACTTATAGGCAACTTTATGAAAAATTTCGTACGTCTGGGGCACGCCTCTGCTTTATCTGATTTTGAAAATTTTTCGCAGAGCACTTTTTTATGACCAAACGATCTTTTCTATGGTGGGGCGGTCTTGCTTTTTAGGTCAAAGTTAAGGCGCACACTAATGTACCTACTTCATATATTTCTTTCACAGTTTGTTGATGGCATTTTGAATTCAGCACAACTACATATGTTCATACACCAATTGAGTGAAAATTATGCAAGTGAAGCTTGTAAATCAATCAA